TTTAAAATACCCTTGATAGAAAAATAAAATAAGGTTCCAGACCTTCTCTTCTCAACTCCAACCACCCCGGCCTTCTCCTTTTCTTCCCTTTTCTATCCTTCCTCCTTCCACTCACGCCAGCCACACCCAAAGCCAACTGCAGCTGTCCCAATCTTTCCCTTCCCAGTCAAGCTCCTGCAAGCACTCTCAGGCAGTCCCCACTACATGAGCAACATGCTTTTCCTGCCAGCAAGAATAGAAGTGCCTTCTGTTCTGTTTAGTATCATGTACTGAGAAATTTGGCTTCTCCTACTAGCAAAATTTGTTTAGTCACTCCAACTGGCAAGCATAAGCAGTTTTGCTCAACCAATAACTAGACATACTTTTTTCTTAGTTTCACAATTCTTCCCCCTTCAAAATGTATGTTGTGGTAAGTCTGTAAGGTGCCATAAGATACTGGATTTTTTAAGAATTAGAATTTTTATTCACGTATGCAAGCAATGCCACAAAAAATTAGTTTCCCATTTAATATTAAGACTCTGAGAAAGTTTTTCCAATTTTTACCTTTCTTTTTTTTATAAGTTTGAGAGCCTGCCCTCTTATTATGTTCTGGTGATAGGAGTAACTTTAAGAGACTGCTTATGCCTAGCTGCCTTACAACCAAATTCTCAGGACAGCTTACAATAAAAATAAGAACAAATTAAAGCTGCCTATATATGACAAAATAGTCAAAAATAAAATTGTCAATATTCATGCAAATTTTACTAAGACAAAATGGCAACAAAATTTAACATTATTTGCCCAGGAATATGTTTTTATCAAGTAATGATTGAGCCAAAACCAATACTCACCCACATCTGATGGCTAAAATAGTTATATTTAATTGGAAAGCGTTACTTAACCTATCCTTCTACCATGATATCTTGATGGTCAACTACGTAAGACCTATAAGCCTGTGACATCATCAGCATTATGATGTCATAAGCAGAATGTCAATTTCAACTTGAATCAAGTCTAGGAAAGTGTTTTGGCTTTGATTTTTTTTTTGTTACAAAATATTGCTTTTTAAATAGTACACCTCACTCTTCTTTCCTGTTAAAATTCAAACTCCCCCTGGTCTCACTGGTGACAACTACTTAGCTAGTACTGTCTGTAACAAACAGAACTTTTCTGTACAATAGATCAAATGGATTATCCAAATAGCTTGCACAAATACAATAATACAAATACTGTTTCAACTACTTGTCAAAAAAACTCAGAATCAGAATATTTCTCACAAAATCGCATTCTTTGAAGATATAAACATCTTTAGCTAACACTACATTCACTCAGAAAGCTGTTGTAATTACAAACCTTTACTGATAACGAGATTTTTCTACTCTATATAGTCTCTTATTTCCAATATCTAATTTATAAAGTCCTAAAATATTTTATCTAACCTTAATTATTTTATTTATTTAAAAATACACATTGACCAATACAAATCCAAGAAAGTGTATTAGTTTTAAAGTCTTTTATAGCAGAAACCAAAGCCAAATCTTCAGGGAATATGTTTACATTATTCAATAGAAATTTTTTATCCTTTCACATGCAAAAGGCAGTTAACTCTAATGGAGATGATGTTATAACCTAGAAAAGTTGGATCAGTCCCACAGGTTAGCAATAACTAAAATATAAGGTTAGATAAAATAAAAATAAAAAAGCAAATCCAAACTGATTACAGAAATGAGTAGATCTGAAAAATTTGAAAAAAATTACACTATTTTAAAAAATATAAACAATTCTGAAAGCTAACTCATTTTTTTTTTAAAAAAAACCTAAATTGAAACACATGTCACAATTCAGTAGCCTTGCCCTCCAGTAAGTACAAAGCGATTGGAGTTGCTTTTCTTCCCTCTTCCTCGGTTTTAAGTTTGACTGTGATATTATCAGTTGTAGGTTAGACTCCTCACCTTAGAAATAACAGAAGAAAAATCCAACACCTAGTATCTTTCAATTCACAAGTGAATGTGTATTTCAAAAGATGTTCCTGTACCAGCAACCATTACAGCAGATGGGAATTGGTCCATCAACAAGTTAATTTGCTTTTAAAAACAAACACCTACTTAAAAAATAGTTAGCACATCACTTGGCATAAATGATGCCAAGTAATAAGGCTTTGCTACCGTAGTAGACACATATTTCAAATCTGCTCAATCCTACCTAAACCTTAAATTCTCCTCCTCCCCACCCCAGGAGCTGAAATTAAAATAAAGGTTTGCAATCACCATTCTGAAGAATGCTGGTCTCCTATATTGGCAGCCATAATCGTAGAACAGGCAAACAGGTAGGTATCGAATGGCTGCAAATCCACAGCCTGGAAACGGGTCTTTCCTTCGTTCTTCTTCCACAAGTAGAGGCCAAACAAAGGACATTAACCAGGGAACAGGCACATCTCAAAATCGTGGCTAGACCTCTTTAGCACGCTTCCTGATGCCCCTTTTCATCTTAGGGCAAGCAAGGGCTCAAGAGCCTCGGGAACTTTTAAGATTTCACAACTAGTAGTAGACCCCTCTTCAAGCTTATTCCAACCAAACGAGATGCTGTGTAGTCCTATCAGGCCACGTTTTTTTTCCTCTGGGGCTTTATATTCTTTGCGCCCCCGTTTGTAATTACATCGCATGTGAGGCCCTTCTGTAGCGTAACATACTCTCTCTTTCTGAAGTATTAAAGGCTAAGATTCCCCCACCCTCGGGCCCAAAAACTTCACCCACAACTCTCTTCCTTGGCAACAGACCCCGGCCCACCCTTCCCTGCTATCCCCTCTCAGGCACCCCGAAAAAAAAGACTCCCACCAAAAATTTACTCGCTCGCTCGCTCGCTGCCTGCCTACCACAGGCACCCCTGCACGAGCTGGCCTCGGCCTTCCCCCCGCGCGGCCCTTACTTCGGGCGGTCTCGCTGCCCTCGCCCACCCACTCCTGACCGCTTCCTCCTCCTGCCCTCAGCCTAACGAAAGGAGCGGCGAGCCACCCGCTCAAGCCCCGACCGCCTCGTCGCCCGTGGCAAAATAAAGCCACTTCCTGGAACCACAGTTCGAAGCAGGCCGCAGGTTTCGTCGACTCGAGTGCGGAAGAGCCCCAGCGCTTCCCAAAATGGCGCCCGCTGACTCTTCCCTTCCTCTCCCAGTCTCGGCTGCCAGATTCCTTCCTTCCGGTTGCCCCCAGGAAGCGGTGCGCGCGAGGGCGGCGAAAGAGAGGACGCTGACCTGCCTGGTGACGTCACGCCGCGCAGGCGACGTTCGGCGGAGCTTCCTCACGTGGTTTGTTCTGGACTCTGGAGGGTGGGATATTAGCTTTCCGCTTCAGAAGCGTGGAACTACAACTCCCATGACCTCGCTGGTATCATTCGTTCGTTTTCTTTTATCCTAATCCAGGGCTTTTCAACCTTTTCACCCATTGTACAACTTTTAGGATATGGCAACATCCGAGTACCACCAGTCGCCTAGCAAGGTGTCAAAAACTTGACCCCCCCCCAAAAAGGAAAAAAGTGATAAAGTACAGGTAGTCCTCGACTTACAACAGTTTGCTTAGTGACTGTTCAAAGTTACAATGGCACTGAAAAAAGTGGCCCCCAAGGCACAGCCGAGCAAGACACCTGCCTGCCCACCCGGCCGCGCTCTTCCTCCTGTCCGAGGTTTTCATTGTTGTGAGCATTTCTGTTGAGGATTGGCAGCGGGGGTGGGGTGGGGGGGTTGGTTTTTATTCCCCTGTCTGCTGGGTGGGGTTGCAGCAGGTTTTGGTCACTTCACATGACCCTGGGACACTTTGACCGTCATAAATATGAATCAGTTGCCAAGCATCTGAATGTAAATCACAAGACCCTGGAGATGCTGCAACATTCCAGCTGATCGGCGCTTCTTCTGGGCTCAGCAGAAGCGCCAGGATCAGTGCCGAGCTCCAGCTGGAACCTGGCGCTGATCCTGGCGCTTCCGCTGAGCCCTGACAGCCCTGCAGCTCCAGCCATCTCTCGCTCAGGCTTGTGCGGTGCTGCCACCGGTTCAGCTCATTCCCCTCCCCCACTACCACTTTTCTAGGATGGTCGCGTACCACCTGCCAGGTGCCAATGTACCACAGGTGGTACCCGTACCACTGGTAGAAAAGCCCTGTCCTAACCTACCTTACGCAATTGTTGTGAGGATACAAACGGGGGAAAGGAGACTCAAGGTCCCCTGACTTGAAGATCCAGAAGAAAGACAAAACACACATGAAATAAAGAAGGAAACTTTCTCTCCCCCATCCCTTCTCTTTTACCAGCCAAATAACTTTAGTAGCTGGGCAAAAGAACATTCGGATAGTTGGGCTTGTTTTTCCATTAATACGACGGTAATTTTTTGGTTTCTGCAGTCTGTCAGGCAAGGATGAAAGGTTGCACTATTGCAGATCCCATTTCCCAGATGTAAAGAGTACTCTGTCCTTTCTGAAAGCAATTATCCTCCCCTCCCCCTCCCCCTTTTTTTTCCTTTTTACAATTTTCCCATCCCAAAAAAGAACAATTGCTTTTGTAGCATGAGCAACTTTTCCTGGCTCTTGGTCAAATCAACTGTCTTCTGTGTGCACTGGCTTCTGTACCATCTAACTGGCCCCGGGATCCATCTGCAGCACTTCATGCTCCATCGCTAGGGTGACATGATAGCAGTATTCCAGTATTTGAGGGGCTGCCACAAAGAAGAGGGGTCAACTTGTTCTCCAAAGCACCAGAGGGCAGGACAAGAAACAATGCATGGAAACAAATCAAGGAGAGAAGCAACCTGGAATTAAGGAGAAATTTCTTAACAGGGAGGACAATCAACCAGTGGAATGCCTTGCTTTCAGAAGTTGTGGGTGCTTCATCACTGGAGGTTTTTAAGATGAGACTGGACATATTTTGTCTATTTTCTTTCTCTAGCAAGTTGTCTATATCAAGTTCAAAGAAAGACACTGACAAAGTGGATAGGCTTCCTGCGGAAGTGCCTGTGGAGATTCTTAATCCTCCAGGTCATAGTTGTCTGAAAAGTGCTATTTTTCTTCAAAAGGCAACTGGACCATTTTTTTCTTTGAGGAGGAAGAAGAAAATGTTTCATTTCTCATCCAAGAAGCTTCATCAGTTCTGATGGTGGTGGTGGGGTAGGGTAGGTGCTGACAATTGAGCCTGGACAGTGGGGGGGGGGGGAANGGGGGGGGGGGGGGTTGGCACTCTCTGAGAGTTGTTGAGGCCACTGAGGGTTTATCTATGCCCTCAGGGTCACCTGAATCAGGGTACAATTGGTTGTGGAATCTTCTTGGAACTGCTGCAAGGGCTGCGTAATAGACTCTCCAGTGGTGTCTTGTTCCTCTTCCTCTGTAGAAGGAGTGGTGTTCAAGTCTAACATATATGGATTCTTTTACCCCTCTTTCAAACTAATGGGCTTCTCTGTCCAAAATTTGGACTTTGCTGTCTTCAAAAGAGTGACCTTTGTCTTTCAAAAGCAGATGGACTGCTGAATCTTGTCCTGATGAGTTTGATCTCCCATGTTGTGCCATGTGCTTGTGAAGTGATGAAGTTTTACTTTATCCCCTATCACATTGGTTCTCATCATAGTTAGGATTAGCATTGGATTTTGGTATCCTTGTATATTTGTCCATACATTCTGATAGGGCTGATGTCGGACACAGCAAAAGAACAACATAGAATAATCCAGTCAAAGTTCAGTTCTTTATTTGCCTTCATCCAATAGACAGAATCTTGCCAGACTAAACCTTTAATACTGGTCACCCAATGGGTATACCCTGGGAGATTCTAAGGAGTTCCTATCCTTATTCTCTTCCTCTGTTTCCCATCCAACTCCCAGTTGTGTTGTGTCTTGTCTTCTGCCCCTCTGGTCATTGGGGGTGGGGGGGATCATTCAGATTTTTGTGAATGGAAAATTCACAAAAGAAGATCCTGGAATCAGCTGCTGTTGTTTGCCTACTTTCTCTGTGTTTAAAAGTGAAGTAATCTTAACAAAAGGAAAAGTGTGCCAGTCAAGGAATATTGCACCCTTGATGCACAGTTAGGTTTTGGATCTTGAAAGCAGGGGTGGGGCTAACCATCAGGCATTGCTTGGGGGGTGTCAGATCAGATATTTTTAAATGGCGCAGGCATTAGCAAAGGGAAATGAGTTGTAAGGGATGGTACCTACGGAAGAGGTGGTGGAACACAAGGAGGGGCAGGAGCACTCAAAACGCGGTCATGTGACTGAGGATGGGCTCGATGTCAGAACTTTGAAATCAGATCATAAGTAGTTTTGTGGGGGAGGGATCTGTGATAAGTTTCAACAGTTGCTAAATGATCGATTGTAAATCGAGGACTAGGCAAAGTGGCTGCAGTTCAGTGCTTCCTATGCCAGACAAAAGACAAAAGGGAAAGTCGGTAGAGGGGGTAACAGTGAATTATCTTGAGGAGGGGGGGCACTAATGAGAGTGACAGAGAACAGCATTAACAGGTTGCTTTCTAGTTTTCTCAACCCCTGTGGTAGTCATTATGTGAATGAGGAAGCCCTCAATGAGAGCCCCTTTCTTTATTCTGAACATGCAAATGGAGTCCCAGTTGGGTGGGACACACTGTTCAACAGCAATGTAAGAATAGGTGACTTAACCCAGGGTCCTCAATCCCTGGGCTGCAGCCCATTTCCGGGCCTTGAGCCATTTAAAACCGGGCCACAGAAGTAGTGGGCAAGCGTGCGGGCATGCACCCCCACTTGTGCGAGCAGCAGGCACGCTGCTCACCACTCGCGCAGAATCATCCTCTTAACTCCCCCAGCCAGTCTGCAAAGCCGGAAAGTTTGGGGAACTCTGACTTAACCCACTGCTCAGCACTGGCAGGAAGCATTGTCATGTAATCAGATAAACTTGGAGTTTGCTATGGCTGAGCAGGGAGTTGGACTAGATGACCTCCAAGGTCCCTTCCAACTTTATTATTATTATCATCATCATCATCATCATCATCATCATCATCATCATCATCATCATCATCATCATCATCATCATCATTATTATTATTATTATTATTATTATTATTATTATTATTATTATAGGAGCCAGTGGGGGCTTTGCCAGAAGCTCTTCCGACCTGGAAGAAGCTTCCTTTATGCTTCTTATGTTGGATAACATAATTCTAAATGAAATCAGAAGAAGAAAGAAACTCATTTGTGACTGGATAAATCAACCTTGTCCAGACATTTTAAAGGTAAGTGGAAATGGAATTTGAGAGGACTATGCACGTGAACAGAAGGACTAAATACAGAATCCACTTTTCCAAATTCAGGGGCTGAGATGACACAAGGCTTCACACATTCTGTCCTCGATTTACAATCATTTGTTTAGTGACAGTTTTCAGTTACAACGGCACTGAAAAAAGTGACTTATGACAGTTCGTCATATTTAGTGACCATTACAGTACCCCCATGGTCATGTGATCAATTCAGATGCTTAGCAACTGGTTCATATTTATGACCGTTGCAGTGTCTTAGGGTCATGTGATCACCATTTGTAACCTTCTGACAAGCAAAGTCAATGGGGAAGCCAGATTCGCTTAACAACCATGTTACCAACTTAACAACTGCAGTGATTCACTTAACAACTGTGGCAAGAAAGATCATAAAATGGGGCAAAACTCACATAACAGCTAACTTTCATATCAGTGGAAATTTTGGGCTCAATTGTTGTAATTCGAGGACTACCTGTATCACAGCAAGTGCAATGGTTAGAAAAAGCACATCTTCATATTATATTTAGCCCATACCAGTCACTGGAAGAGGACAGAAAGAGTAGCTGGCACAAGATGCTCAACAACTAGTAGATATGGTATATCAATGCTATGAAGAGCTTAATCAAGAGAGGAAATAGTATCTTTACTGTGACTTGGGAGTGCACAATTAAATTTCAACAATCTGAACTATGTGCGTTTTCACTGCACAATACACTGTGTTTTGATGCATTCTATCAGTGACCTTGAGTAGTGAACGCAGACAGAAGTGGAAATAAGAGGCTACTCAGAAGAAGAGTTTGTGCGCTCAGAACTCTACGTTTACAGAATTAGGAAGCAACGGCATGTACTTTCTCTGAAACTTCATACAAATTGAGAATGTCCAGTGTTGATAGAATGTTGGTACAAAACTGTATTATATTGCAGTTCTCAATGATTAATGATCTAGTTTTTGACATTACTTGAATTACCCAATTTTGCTATTACTTGATTGATAGATGCCATCAGCTCAGTGTCAGCTCTTTCTGACTGGAGATTTTTTTCCCCAGAACAGTTGTCCCCAATGGGACAATGTTCAAGACTTCCCATGGTAAACCCATTGCTACTATAATTGAGTCCATCCGTCTTGCTGCTGGTCATCCTTTTCTCTTTCTTTCCATCTTTCCCAGCATATCACTTGACATTGTCTATCCAGGCAGGGTTGTTTTTAATAAAATATATGAGTGATGTACCATTACCTTCTGCACATTATGAAGTGATACCTTTGCCTATTTCATTAAGATAATGCATCTGTCCCCAGCATCTTTCTACGTTGCTGCTGCCCAATATACAGCAGGTGGCCTCCTTGTTTTAGTTGGGCAGCTAGGATGGACCTTCAAGCCCTGGGCGACCTTGTTGCAAATACAGGTAATCTTTGACTTACAACCATTCGTTTAGCAACCATTACAAGTTAGACACTGAGAAAAGTGACTTACAGCTGGTCCTCACACTTACGACCTTCGCAGTGTCCCTGTGGTCACATGATCCAAATTCGGGCTTTTGGCAACTGGCACATATTTACAATGGTTGCAGCATCCTGGGGTCTTCTGATTGCCATTTGCAAAGTCAATGCTGAAAGCCACATTCGCTTAACAACTGTATGATTCACTTAACAACTGCAGTGATTTGCTTAACAACCATGGCTAAAGTTATAAAATTGGGTGCAACTGCTTCACAGTGCTTTACAGCCTCTCTAAGCGGTTTACAGAGTCAGCCTATTTCCCCCAACAATCTGAGCCCTTATTTTATCGACCTTGGAAGAATGGAAGGCTGAGTCAACCCTAAGCTGGTGAGGATCGAACCCCTGGCAGTGGGCAGAATTAGCCTGCAATACTGCATTCTAACCACTGCCACCATGGCTCTTATATATAGGAGTGTGTGTGTGTGTACTGGTAAATATGTACGTATGCTCTAGGCATATACTCCCTGTTCTTTGCTCATTCCTCCCAGTAAAATTCCCCCCCGAAAGGGGAATCGTAGCAATATATAAACATGCCCCATAACTGCATATTCTCTCACATAGTTGTGTGTGTGCAAAAGCAGAAATGGACACCATGTAAAATAAAGTTTCCCTTTTATTTTAAACTGGGCAAGTTCCAAATGCTTGTTAGTGTTGGGGGTTCTAATTAGGAGCAAGGAGGCTGATAGGGAAGCAAGGGTAGCTCTGGGCCCCTAATGGATTCCCCTATTCTCTCAAGTCTCTTGGTGGGACCCAGTGGGGTCCTCCACTTTTCCGGCACACCCACCGCCAGAGCAGGGAGCATCCATCTCTGGCTGGATGGCTCTTGCTGTTTTGTCTCCATTGTCCATATACTCTTTCAGTATATCTATCTTGTCTGCACTCGTGCGGTATTTTTTTTTTAAAAAAATATCCATTCATTGGTGTTTGCGCACACTTTTTTGTATATAAACTTCCATTTCTATTTTGAAATTAGTTCAGCTTCCAATTGTCTTCTCTCACTCACCCTTTCACATGGCTTGCACTTGTTCTGTCTCTCAACCATGTCTCTCTCTATTTACATTTCTTAATGTATTCACACTGCTCACCCCTGCCATTGAATGTCTCCCGGCCTAAAAAATATTCTCTTTCTCTCCCCCCCTCTTTTTCCTTTCCTTTCTTAGAGAAGGTAGGCTAATGAAGAGATTCAAGTGAAGGAGCAGGGGGGCACCTGGTGAAAAAGGCTCACTTAAGTTGTATTCTAGTAAATGATTGGGTTGGGGAGTCTCTCTGTGTTAGTTGGGGGTGGTGTGCATCTGGGTTGGGGTCTTCTGGGCTGCATCTAGGACTGTAATCCGGTCTGGCAGGGGAAGACCACTTCTTCACTAGCACCAACATAAGACGCTCGCATGCTGGGAGAATACTATGGAATGATAAAAAGAGAGGAACGAGGAATTAATAACCAAGCAATATTAGAACAGCAGGTATTCTTATTCTGCTGTTTCAACCTGTCACTTTCCAGATGAGCTGGGGGCTGCAATTTTTAAATCTCCAACCAACATTGTTGTTGTTAGTTGCGAAGTTGTGTCCGACCCATTGCGACCCCATGGACAATGCTCCTCCAGGCCTTCCCGTCCTCTACCATCTTCTGGAGTCCATTTAAGCTCACGCCTACTGCTTCAGTGACTCCATCCAGCCACCTCATTCTCTGTCGTCCCCTTCCAACATACTGGCTGAGAATTCTAGTAGTTATATTTGTAGGGGGTGGGTGTTTGATTAAATCAGGGGTCCCCAACCCCCAGGCTGTGACCCGCTACCAGGCCGTGGCCCGTTTGAAACCAGGCCATGGGAGAAATGGGCCAGCACGCACGAGCGGCGGATGCTTGTCCTCACACGCGAAGTTCCACTTGCACGAGTAGAGGGCGAATGGAGCTTTGCACGTGAGCGCTTTCCGCTCATGCGAGTGGAGCTTTGTGCATGAGCACAAGCACCCTCCGCTTCGCACGCGAGAGCAAGCACCCTCTGCTCGCGCACACGAAGGTCACACAAATGGAGCTGTGCGCTGGCCACTCACATCCCCCCCCACCTCAGGCCACCAAGTTGGAAAGGTTGGGGACCACTGGGTTAAATAGATAGTTCGGGGACAGTGTGTAGCTTCAGACCTTTTTGATGGCCCTGAGTTACCCCCAAAATAATGAGAGTTAAATAGATGTATGGTGTCTCAGGCTAAATACATCTGTTACTAAATTTACAAACCATGCAAGAAATCGTGAAAACTCTTCCCTTCTGCCTCTGGTGTGAGCAGCATCTGCAAACCCCCTCAGAACCACCACTGCCACCACCTTTCCCCCCATTAAAGAACTGATTCAACCCATTTTGACCAAAGGAATAAAAAAAGTTATTTTGCTACCTAAGTCCATTGTTAAGTTTAGGTGATTGTCTATGGAGATTCTCAGCCATCCAGTTCATGGTAGTCCCAAAGGTGCTTTACCAAAAGGCAACTGGACTTTCATGTTTTTTTTTTTTCTTTGAAAACGTTTCACTTCTCCTGCAAGAACTTCTTCAGTTTCTGAAAGTTCTTCAGTTCTGAAGCAGCTTCTTGGATGAGATGTGAAACGTCTTCAAAGAAAAAAACAACGCAACTTTGGGACAGTTTAGGTCAGGGGTCAGCAACCATAAACACTCAAAGAGCCACTTGGACCCGTTTCCCACAGAAACGAAAACACTAGGAGCCGCAAAACTTGCGTGCACGTGCGCACCAGAGGGGGGGCTTGATTGGAGAGTTTAATTAAAAAGAAATAGAGGTTGCTGTGCATGAGTTCTCTCTCTCTCTCTCTCTCTCTCTCTCTCTCTCTCTCTCTTTCTCTCTCTCTCCTCTCTCTCTCCCTCTCTCTCTCTTTCTCTCCCTAACTCTCTTTCTCTCTCTCTTTCCTCTCCCTCTCCCTCTCTCCCTTTCCCTCTTTCTCTCTCTTTCCCCCTCTCTTTTTCTCTCTCTCCCTCTCTCTTTTTTTCTCTCTCCCTCTCTCTCTCTCCCTCTCTCTCTTTCCTCTCCCTCCCTCTTTCTCTCTTTCCTCCCCCCCTCTCTCTCTCTCTCCCCCCTCTCTCCGATCTTCTGCTCACCTGGCAAGCTGGCTTCAAGCTGTTCTCCAACAAGCTGATGCACATTCTTATTGGGCTGGCTCTCTCCTGCCCTTCCTGCTTCCTGCAGAGACGCAGCCAAGGCAGGAGCCCCGCCCAATAAGCTTGTCAGCTGGTCGGAGAACAGCGTGAGGCCACTCTCTTTTTATACACACACACACACACAGAGAGAGAGCGAGAGAGAGAGAGAGCAAGTGCCTCTCTCTCTCTCTCTGTCTCTGCAAATGGCAGAGGAGCCGCAGGAGAATGCTCAAAGAGCCGCATGCGGCTCTGGAGCCGCGGGTTGCCGACCCGTGGTTTAGGTGATTATTATTATTTTGACAATCCGACACATCAGACATATATGCACCAGGTTTTCAATCCCCCACAACTCAGCTGGGATCACAAAATCAAAGCCACTTGTTGTATCTCTGCTCTGTCATAGCCTACAGCCGGTGTGCTGCCTTTGGTCACCACATATGCAGGAGTCCACACTTCTGACTTACCGAAGGGGGTGGGGAATGACGGTCAATGAGGGGGATGCTCTCAAATTGAGGACTGCCACTGTACGAAGCGCTTTGACTCCTGCAAGGGACAAGAAAGTTGCTGATAACGAATCCCTCCCTCCCCAAGCCAAGCTATCCAAGCTCTGGAAGGTCAGTCCGTTACTTCAGAAATGCTAGAAAACTCTACTTCGTTGGACATAGGCAACTTTCTGGAGGACCTCTACAGAAATGTCTATGTCAGGGGTCCCCAACTCCTGGTCCACGGCTCAGTGCCAGGCTGCAGCCCATTCAGAACCGGTCTGCAGAACTGGTGGGTGAGCACATGCGTGAAGATGCATTCGTGAAAGTGGTGCGTGCACAACGGGAAACCATCCCCTGTCCACCCCCCACTGCCTCTGCCAGTCTGGAAAGGTTGGGGACCGCTGGTCTATGTGGCCATTGAAATGAAGGCTCTTGGTTTATTTAGATCTCCTGACAATAAACCATAGCCTGGATTATACAGTAGTAGATCCTAGGTTCATCATGACCTTCTTGGTCCTCTTTATTTGGAGGAGTAGATATATGTCCCATCTCACTATAGTCTTGATATAGTATGACATGAGAACTCCAAATGGAGAGCATTTTTGTATAATCCCTCTTTTTTTAAAAAAAAAAAAGGGGGAAGGAGAAGATCAAAGATCACAAGATTTGCATATTTATCTCTTTTGGAGAGTATATTTATACAAGGAGGGGCAATACCTATTTCTCCACTATATATATAGAAGTTGCAGCCCAAGAAGTTAATTAGGGAGACGTAATTTCTCTGAATGTGCATTTGATCCGAATTGCACTCCAGAGGATGGGGGCATGAAAAACAGTGAAAAGGTTCAGGATTGAGGAGAGAAGAATAAAACGGTAGCAATCAGTTTCACTTAGTGTGGAAATCAGTGTAGAAAACCGGGAGTAAGGAAAGGATCAGTCACTGGGAACATATGAGAGATAGTGAAGGGGCTTAGAGTAGTATTTCCAGAAGAGCATTTTGATAAATGGGTTGTCTTGGGGAAGGGGTGCTTGGGCCAGGAATGGAAAGTGATACAAATGGCTGGTTCACCATTATGGAAGCAAGGTGGAAGACATAAACAAAAAATAGACAAATGAAGAAAACAAAGGAATTAAGGATTCCATCTCTATGGGTAACTGCTTTAGTGGGATCACTCCTGGTGGTAGTAAAAGAAATCTAAAATGATATTTAATGAATAGGAACAAAGTGGAACAGACTGCATCTGCAGGCAATAAAACCTCCTCTGTTGGAGGTGTTTATATACTTTTTTTTGAGAGCGGGCAACAGAATTTCATTTTTAATGTGTGCCAGTGTGCTCACAGTAAAAAAAAATGACAATAAAGGTTTCTATCTTATCTGGTCTTATATCTTATATCTTATCCTATCATCTTATCTTTAAACAGATACTGGAAGGTACAATAGATTCCTGCACTGCTCAGAGAGTCAGACTACATGACCTCAAGGCTCCTTAAAATCCTTATACTCTATGAAAGTAAAAGTAAGAAGAATTAAGTATGCTGTTTAGAGGTTTCTGAAGGAAGCAGTGGGTGATAGTATAATGCTGTATATAAAATAAACATTCCTTCTCCTACTCCGGTGATCTAGACCAGTGGTGGCAAACCTATGGTACACGTGCCAGAGACGGCACTCAGAGCCCTCTCTGTGGGCATGCACGCCGTCACTCCAGCCCCACCTCCCCCTGTGGCCCTCTCCTCACCAGCAGCCCCCCCGGAGGAGAGTCGCCCCCAGGCATGGCCTGTGCAAAGCAGCACAGCCAAGAACATGGCAGCCGGGCAGCAGGGACAAGACTCCGCCCTGTCATGCGCATATGATGCTGTGGCGCACAGGCAGAGGGCGTGGCCACCATGGCACTGCAGGGCCACCTGGGCAATCTCCTGCGGCGGGCCGTGGAGGCGGTGGGGCAGTTTTGGGGCACTCGGTCTCTAAAAGGTTTGCCATCACTGATCTAGACTGGAAAATACAGGTATATCCTCAACTTACAATAGTTCGTTTAGTGACTGTTCGAAGTTACTTACAGCTATTGCAGCATCCCTGTGGTCACATAATCAAAATTCAGATGCTTGGCAACTGATTCATATTTATGATGGTTGCAGCATCCCGGGGTCATGTGATCACCTTTTGCAACCTTCTGACAAGCAAAGTCAATGGGGAAGCCAGATTCGCTTAACAACCGGGTTAGTAACTTAACAACAGTAAGTGAGTCACTTAACAACAGTGGCAAGAAAAGTTGTAAAATGGGGCAAAATTCACTTAACAACTGTCTCGCTTAGCAAAAAAAATTTGGACTCAGTTATGGTCGTAAATCGAGGACTACCTGTAAGCTTTCCCTAGGCAACCAAAATCACCTATTATTCTCCATTCTTTAAACTTCAAAACTGCTAAACAATGTTGGCCATCGCATCTGCCCTTCTCCTTGATTAGGGAACCCAATTAAGATGGTCTTTTTTCCCCCTGAAATTTCAGACAGCTAAAGCAGCACTGTCTATGGCAGGGCTAGGCAACCTTGGCTCTTTTATGACTTGTGGACTTCAACTCCCAGAATTCTGGCTCAGGAATTCTGGGAGTTGAAGTCCACGAGTCGTAAAAGAGCCAAGGTTGCCTACCCCTGGTCTATGGAGATTCTCAGTCATTCAGGTCACGGTTGTCCCAAAGGTGTTTTTTCAGGAGGCAACTGGACTTTCTTGTTTTTTCTTTGAAGACGTTTCGCTTCTCATCCAAGAAGCTTCTTCAGTTCTGACCGGATGGGGGGGAATAGGAGGATTTATATTCCTTACAGACAGCTGGTCATTTGCCTTCTTTTGGAGAGTCGTTGAGGTGCGGGAGTATGAACAGATTTCCAGAAAACATTGCAGACTACGGAAACCATTTGCGCTTCAGTTTGAGATGCAGACAAGACAGACTCATCCCCAACAGCCAGCGCCTGTCTTCAACAATAAAGGGACACAAGGCAGAAAACATCCTGTAGCCAAGAAGGCTTCACACCCGTTGGCACTACTCAGGTGATCTTGAGGACACAGGTAAACCTCCAAATGGCCTCAATGGCTCTCTAAACGAATGCAAATGACCAGCTGTCTGCAAGGAGTATAAATCCTTCCATTCCCCACCATCCAGTCAGAGCTGAAGAAGCTTCTTGGATGAGAAGCGAAACGTCTTCAAAGAAAAAACAAGGAAGTCCAGTTGCCTCCTGAAAAAGCACCTTTGGGATAAAGCAGCACTGGGGAAGGAGAATGAATGGGATGAGGAAAAGGCCAGGGAAGGAGGCAAGGAGGAGGTAGGAGGGAGAGGAAAGGAACTTGTAGAGGGAACAGTCGGTTTGTGATTTGGAGGGAGTCTGTCCTCCCTTCCCCCTCCCCCTCACGCACTCGGGTCTGGGCCACGGGGCCATTCCAAGCCCCTCTCGCCTTGCAGGGGGTATTAAGCCCAAGCGCGTGGGGAGGGGGTTGGGAGGTGGGGGTTGGGGGTTACTCACATGTACTGTGAGATGGGGGCGTTGGAAATGGGGGGGGGGCTGAAAGGCGCAGGCTGCCCCGGCTGCCCCAGCTTGAACAGTGGCCAAAGGAGCTGGGCAGGCTGGGCCCAGCCCCCCCTGCACGCACTGTTGGCGGTCTACGTGCCTGGGGCGTGAAAGGGTCGTCATCCTCCATGTCATCATAGTCCGAGTCCCTACACAGGAATTCAGGAAAAAAAGAGGGGAAAAAAGGAGTAAAGGAGTGAGCAACAAGGAAAGAGCTGCCTAGCCTAATGACTATGAAGACAACTATGGTCATCGGGCATCTATCCAGAAACAAGAGTTTGTGCCAAATCCAGCATGGCTGCCTCAGGAATTCTGGGAGTTGAAGTCCACAAGTCATAAAAGGGCCATGGTTCCTTTAGTGTGTTCCTTTAGTGTGTAAATTCAGAACAGGAAGACATGACAACCTGGTCCAAGCTTCTGATCTAGTTCACAAATTCTACATTCACCTTGTCAAATCAGACACACCCTGGTTTCGTTTGGACTTCCGAATCCCAGAATTCTCAACACACCTTTTGTTTAGGGATGAGAAGTGGGCTAATCTATGTTAATGGACATAAAAAGTCTTACTCTGAATTGGATCATTGTGCTTTGTATTGTCTACACCAGAGACCTGCAACATTTTTGGCCTGTGAGTGGCCTGAAGATGCATGCCAAAAAGAATAGGCAGGGTTTGGAGAAAAACCAAGATTTTATTAACTTACCATTTAAAATTAAATAACTATTCACATTTAAGTTCTTTAACTTTGATTAAATACAACTAGTATGATTTTAGCCACCTACAGGTAGTCCACAACTTACAACAGTTCATTTACTGTAGTGACCATTCAGAGTCAATGATTTATGACCATTTTTCACACATACAACTGTTGCAGCACCCCCGTGGTCACGTGATCAGAATTCAGATGCTTGGCAACTGGTTCATATTTATGACAGTTGCTGTGTCCCAGGGTCACGTGATCATCTTTTACAACCTTCTGATAAGCAAAGTCAATGGGGAAGCCAGATTCACTTAACAACCGTGTGACGAACTTAACAACTGCAATGATTCACTTAAAAACAAGAAAGGTCGTAAAACGGGGCAAAATTCATTTAACAAATGTCTCACTTAGCCACATGAATTTTGGGCTCAATTGTGATCGTAAGTCGAGGACTACCTGTGTTTCATATTTCCTTCCTCTGGTTATATTAAAAGCTACAATTTGGTGACTAATTTTGGAGAAGCCCTTAAGCTACTTTCAAGGCTTGGGCATCTATACAGATCTTGAGGGCTGTGGTTATTCACATCTGCAGCAACTATTTCTTTTTGCCTAATCTGGAAGTGGTGAAGATTCTGCTTGCATACAGCTGAGGCTGACAATTCTCAGACACGGGATCTTAGCACTCACCTGTTCTGGAACCTCTTCCAAGCCCGAGGCAGACTACAGACCGCTGTGGTGAAGGAAAGGGCAGAGAGGAAGGAGAAGAGGAGGAGGAAAAGCAATCCCTCCATGCCATCATAGCACAGCCCTTTCAGGCCATCCACATAGTCCTAGGAGACACAGAAAGTGACACAGAGGTACAGTAGCTTCCAGATGGAAGTTTGAAAGTCTGTTGGCAATGATTCCTGGTTTCTGGATATCAGGGTATCCAGATGGGACATTATCATTTTTAATCACTAACTCACACTTTCACTCTCTTTTACTGCCTTTTAATGGGAATTCTATTCGGTCCGTCTGAAATACCAATATGAGAAGGACAGGTCTGTAAAGTTATGAGTATGCCATAGCTCTTTCATCCCCTAGATTTATAGCAATAGCACTTAGACTTATATACCCCCTTCACTGTGCTTTACAGCCCTCTTTAAGCGGTTTACAGAATCAGCCTATTGCCCCCAACAATTTGGGGGCTCATTTTACCAACCTTGGAAAGATGGAAGGCTGAGTCAACCTTGAGTTGGTAAGAATTGAACTGCCGAACTGCTGGCAGATGGCAGTCAGCAGAATTAGCCTGCAGCAGTGGCGGGATTCAAATATGTGAACAACCGGTTCTCTGTGTGGATGCCGCTTCCAGAAGTCCATTCTGGGCCTGGGCAACAAAAAATTAACCACCGGTTCTGCCCAAGTGGCTGAATCCCACCACTGGCCTGCAGTATTACAATTCTACCCACTGGTCCCCCACCACAGCTCCTCATGGAAGAGGCTTTGATATCTGGACTGATGCTTATGATCCCTCCATTGTTCACTCTCACTGGTTGTGAGCATATGTACAGATGCTTCAAATCTTTGTATGCAAACTGATTATAAAATTACAGGATGCTGTAAGTCCACCATGCTGAGATTCTGCCATGTTGAGATTGCTCCATTTTGCTTTGAATGGAAAACTGCTCATATGAAAAGGAACATACCCCTATGATGTATAGAAGGAGTCATCTCTCTCTGTGTGGGCAAAGAGTTTGGAATCTCCAAATGTTTCAACTACAGATTCGACAATTCATCACTATTGGCCTGCAGTATTGAATTTAGGATAATGGTGAGGGATCCTGGAAGATGCAGTAAGCAATATCTGCGGGACCACTATTTTCTACCCTTGCTCGTGACTGGGCATGCTGGTGGTGACGGAAATAGAAATCTAAAATATTTGGAGAGCACCAAACTATCGATTCTCGTTGTAGAGGATGATACCGTTAGTATGCATGCATGCACATCGTATCATAAGGAAATAGGGGCAAAAGTCAGGATCTTAAAACGTATCCGGAAATATTAAGAAACGTTAGGCAGAATGGCTGGAGTGATTAAATGACAAATAAGAGTAACGGGGTACCTTATGAAGTCCCCTGCAATTGAGGAGAGCTACAAGATGATGGAAATTACTTTCTGTGATGTTCAAAGTACTCTGGATGGATACGATGCTCTTCTGCAATGTACAAATGGTATGAATGAGAACACAGTTGCCCTAATCTGCAGCCTCCCCTTTCCCTCTGACTAAACTGCCCCCCATAACTTTGCCCAGTTCAAGAGAGTCATGCAATCCCAGCATCCCCTTTTCTCTAAGAATCCCCACTGACCTCGGCTGCTGGGAAGTGGGGAATGGCTTCTCTCTCCAATCCGTATAGTTGGGAATGTATGTTGGATAGGGCCCTCTGACACACAGTGAGTCTCTAGAGAGTTGGCAGGAAAGAAATGAGAAGGAAAACACAAAGTGCAGGTAGCCCTTGACTTACTATCACAGTTGCAACCAGAAAGTTCATTTTTAAGGGGTGCAGTCATTAGCTAGGCATCGGGTGAGACAGGTACCCGATTTTACATTATTATTTTTTTTGGCCATGGCTGTTAAGCAAATCACCCCAGTCATTAAACAAGACATCACATGATTGTGATTTGTGATTCTGACTTTGCTTGTCAGAAGCTGGCTGTGAAGCTCTCAAATGGCCATCATGTAGCCCTGGGATGCTGCAGCTGTCATAAGTGTGAGCCGGGTGCCAAGCACCTAAATCACAATCACATGACCGCAGAGATGCTGTGCCTAAGTAATAAGAGCCGGGACTGGTCGTAAGTCATTCTTTTCAGCAATGTTGTAACTTTGAATGGTCACAAAGCAAACTGTCGTAAGTCAAGGACTACCTGCATTTGAGGTTAGCAAACTTACAAATACCCTATCATGGTTCCGATAGATGAAACCAATTAAAGCAGAACTCCGAGGCTTGAGTTCTCCTCTAAGAACATGTTTATTGGCTACAAAGTATTGGCACGGTCAAAAGTGAAACCAAGACTAAAGTTCCCTCCAAAAAGTTACAGTATTGCCAAGTTAAACTTCCCACCCCAGAAACTATGCAATCAACTACGTTTCCCAATAGAATAGTTTGGCAGGCATTCTAACATTAGGCTCAACCCCCAGTCTAACGAACAAAAATGACCTTGGTTCCCATGGGACAGAGAATTGTTTAGACTAGCATAAAACTCCCCATTCCTCCCCCCATTCTCATGGCAACCAAAAACAAGCAAGATGGCTTCATCCAGGTTTGTTGCAGAGTTGACATACCCAATAGAAGGAATCTCAAAATTGGGACACCCCCTCTCCCCAGTAAAACTAAATTCTATCCTGTTTTGCATTAAACCAGGGGATTTCAATCACAAGACCATATGCAAATCAGCAAATGAAAATAACAAAGCAAAAGCTTAATTTTTTTTTTCACCTGCCATTCAGTTAGAGAGCTAAACTAGTAATTGGTTAATCAAAACAGTCTAAAGATATAACTGTTTATTCTACAATTTTACAACTTGCCAAAATTACACCCTGCATGAGGTGCATAACATGGGTAAAGGATTTGTATACTGAGAGTAACCAGATTTCATCTGTAGCATACATTTTTAGAAACATCCAAATATGAAATATGGTTGAAAATATATGGGCAATGCTGGCTGGGGAATTCTGGGAGTTAAAGTCCACATATCTTAAAAGGTTCAAAGATTGAGAAACACTCTCTTAGAGGAATAGCAGTGCTTGGATTTAGTTTTGGATTTAATCTGAGAATTCAATATACCATCCTCAAAACTTCTACCACATCCACACATGTTATTTTAATGGAAAAGAGGGAATACTTACCTGCTGAAAAGGGTTGAAAATATCTTGGCTGCAGGTTAAATAGTATTGTAGGATTTCTACAGTGTTGAAGGAAAAGAAAAAAAGGGCATCAAGCCACTGGATCCATCTATTCTAGACATTAGGTCTTTAAAACCCCTTTTTAGATCTCCTGAGTTTGTTTATCCAACCTCTGTACATGTTCAGATGAGGTGGGGAAAGAAACATGTCCATACATGCACACACATACACACACACACACACACAAGCAGCAAGAAGAGGAAGAAAAGAGATCAATCACCAAAATAAAGTGTATTAAATAGCTACACCCTGGGAACTGTTGGGAAGAAATTGGAATCACCACCTTTGCCCTTGGCCATGTGTGGGTTGAGCATTCTGGAAATGGCAACCCTGGTGCATGTTCATGGATTTCCAGCCCTGCCCCCTAAAAAGGACTCTAGCTCAAGGGTGTCCAACCTTGGCAAATTTAAGACTTGTGGATTTCAACCCCCAGAATTCCCCAGCCAACATGACTTGGTGGGGAATTCTGGGAGTTGGTCCACAACTCTTAAAATTGCCAGGGTTGGACACCTCTTGCTCTAGCTGTTTGATACCTTCATGACAGACCAACATTTCAACAGGCAAAACAAATCAGATTGCTCTAGGACAGAGGTCCCCAACCTTTTGGGCACCAGGGACCGGTTTCGTGGAGAGAGGTTTTTCCACGGACCAGAGGGTATGTGGTTTTGTGTGCTGCCTGCATCCCGCGGATGGGGTTTTTCTTGTTTGTGTGTACCGGTTGCTGGCATGCCGTGGACGGGTACTGGGCCACGGACTGGGGGTTGGGGACCCCTGCTCTAGGACAGTAATTCCCAAACTTTTCTATACCCTGCACCCCTAGAACATTTCTGATATATTCTCGCACCGCTTACAAAAGTTTGAAATAACGGCAACAAATTTTTAAAATGTAAAAACTTGCCAAATGATCAGGGGGAAGGGAGATTTAATTTCTCTGGAGCATATAACACAATTACTACTAAAGTTTGCACGTTGCATTCTTGTTAGGAAGGTATTGCTACAGTGCAGCTTCGCAGCCTGGGAGCTGTGTTATTCCCTGGGTGCAAATCCAGCATCTTTATTCCGTAAGATGCAACAGATCTCATCCTACCTGGGCTAAGTCCAGTCCTGGCTTGGGTTGTGTTCATCACGTAACCATCTGGCTCAAAGCAGAAATCACTCAGTCCCTGGAGGGGGCAAAAACAAAAGTTTCTTTTACTTGCAGTGCATTCAGTTGCTGTCAATATCTATGAAGAAATGTGGACTGTAAAAGGTGGCAGCTAGAGAACAACAGTTGGTCAGTTTGATCAACATCAGACACTACTAAGGAAAATTGTGGAAGAGCTTAGACTTTTATGGCATGGGTGAACTGGAAGAGATTGCTAAAAGCTATTGGAGGGACAGGAATAAAAATAGAGGTAGTCCTCAACTTACGGCCACAATTGAGCCCCAAATTTCCATTGCTAAGCAAGACAGGTGTTAAGTGAGCTTTGCCCCATTTTACAACCTTTCTTGCCACAGTTGTTAAGTGAATCACTGCAGTTGTTAGTAATAGCAATAGTAGTAGCATTTAGACTTATATACTGCTTCATAGGGCTTTACTGCCCTCTCTAAGCAGTTTTACAGAGTCAGCATCTTGCCCCCAACAATCTGGGTCCTCATTTTACTGACCTCGGAAGGATGGAAGGCCGAGTCAACCTTCAGCCAGTCAAGATCAAACTCTTGGCAGTCAGCAGAGTCAGCCTGCAGTACTGCATTCTAACCACTGCACCATCACAGCTGAGTAACACGGTTGTTAAGTGAATCTGGCTTCCCCATTGACTTTGCTTGTCAGAAGATTGCAAAAGATGATCACATCACCCCAGGACACTGCAATTGTCATAAATACATGCCAAGTGTACAAATTTTGATTATGTGACCATGAGGTTGCTGCAACCCCACGGTCATGAATTGCTTTTTTCAGTGCTGTTGTAACATTGAATGGTCACTAAACGAATGATTGTAAGTCAAGGACTCCCTGTATAGCAGGAGTGGACCTCCTGGGGCCTTCTACACCTTTTGAGCCTTAACTCCCATTAGACCAGACCAACAAGGCTACTGGCAAAGGATTCGGAGAGTTATCTATAATATCAATAGAAATAAAGTGTGCTTACATCCTCAGAGGAAAACCTGCTGATAAAATCTCTTATCAAGAATGCAGACGGAGTACATCAAAACAAAACAAAAAAGCTTGCTTTTTGATTTGCTGGAATATGGAAAAGACTCCTACAGCCTGGGTGGTGCAGAGAAGAGGCTTGGCAGCCATCAACAAAGGGACACTTATGGTCAGTGGCCTTCGGACCACACACATTGCTATAACTAAGTTGGAAAAAAAAAGAGTGCCGGAGCCAAAGGGGTAGAGGTTGGGGTTGGTCATAACAAGATTACAAATGGTGAGGCGGAATGAATTGTAAAATTGAGGGAAGGTCATGGAGTCTGGAAGAACCATCCCCCTTGTTTGGAGAAGTAGCAAAGGATAATATTAGCTGCATTTGCAAACATGTGACTTACTGTTCGCCATATTTAAGCCTCCCGGGGTGTTGTGCAAAGCAGTGTGCTTGATTAATGGGTCAGTGTCTTATGCAAACTCAGAAAATTGAGCTAATAGGGTAAACTGTGGTTAGGGCAGTCATATGGAAATGTGTTGGCAAACACAACATTAGAGAATAAGATAAAGTGAAAATTTGTTTAATATTTTAGGCTGTTCTGACAACCTGATGGTAAAAAAGACAGATATGTAGGTCCACTAAAAAAGAAACAGTTGATGAGTTGGAGGAATGGGGACGAGGCTGATATAATAGACAAGGACTTTTAACTGGAATGTGTGAACGGAAGACCTGATTGAGTTGAGGATTCCTGAATTTTTGCTTCCTTACGAAGAAATGGGGAACCATGATAGTAACTACAACTGTGAAGGAAAGGTTTATATGCATCTTTTCTATGCTTTCCCTTCCTTCCAAAAGTCCTCCACTCAATTTGCTGCTGTCAACATTGAATCGCTATGATGCCTGCTAGCTTCTATCACTAATCAACTTGCCATAGAAAAGGGGGGAGGGGTAGAAAGAGCAGGAGAAAACGGGATTCTAAGAAGCCGTTCATGGACGGTGAGAGCCTGCAAGAATGCCAAGGTCACTAACGCAGGTGCTTGACGGAGAAGTGGACTTTTCCCATAACACAGGGCGTTTCAACCTTTTCACCCATTGTACCACTTTTAGGATATGGCAACATCCAAGTACCACCAGTCGCCTAGCAAGGTGTCAAAAACTTGATGACCAAAAAAAAAAAAAAGGAAAAGTGATAAAGTACAGGTAGTCCTCGACTTACAACAGTTCGCTTAGTGACTGTTCGAAGTTACAATGGCACTGAAAAAAGTGCCCCCCAAGCCACAGCTGAGCAAGACAGCACCCGGTGGCACTCTTCCTCCTGTCCAAGGTTTTCATTGTTGTGAGCATTTCTGTTGAGGATTGGCAGTGGGGGTGGGGTGGGGGCGTGTTTGGTTTTTATTCCCCCCGTCTGCTGGGTGGTTGCAGCAGGTTTTGGTCACTTCACATGACCCTGGGACACTGTGACCGTCATAAATATAAATCAGTTGCCAAGCATCTGAATGTAAATCACAAGACCCTGGAGATGCTGCAACATTCCAGCTGATCGGCGCTTCTTCTGGGCTCAGCAGAAGCACAAGGATCAGTGCTGCTTTCCAGCTGATTGGTGCTTCTTCAGGGTTCAGCAGAAGCACAAGGATCAGCGCCGAGCTCCAGCTGGAGCCTGGCGCTGATCCTGGCGCTTCCACTGAGCCCTGACAGCCCCGAAGAAGTGCCGATCAGCTGGAAAGCGGCACTGATCCTGGCACTTCTGCTGAGCCCTGACAGCCCTGCAGCTCCAGCCATCTCTCGCTCAGGCTTATGCTGTGCTGCTACCGGTTCAGCTCATTCCCCTCCCCCGCTACCACTTTTCTAGGATGGTTGCGTACCACCTGCCAGGTGCCAATGTACCACAGGTACCACTGGTTGAAAAGCCCTGCCATAACAAACCAAAGTTCTATGATTGGACAATGTGAACACCCGGTGGTGGAGCAAGGGAAGCTATTGTTTAACTAGGCAATTTTTTGTGTGGGAAAACCAGTGTTGGTTTTGCTTCTTCAGTTCCGAGATGTGTACTCAATAAAGTTTCTTTCTGATGGCATTCAAAAGCCTTGAAGATTCCCTTTTTTGGGTTCTCTAGTCAGACAGTTGACAGCTGCTTTGATTAAAAGAAAGATAAATGAAATAAAAAGCATAGCAAATCACTCAGATTGAGTTGTAGTAGAGTTATCTGCTCCCAGGTAACCAATAAAGAACTGCTACTGATAGAAGAGAATATCTATAGTTCAGGGTTGAACTGTGGGGTCCTTGATGCTTTCTGAGCTTGGTTGTTTTCTTGCAAATGTTTCATTACCCAACTAGTGCCCTGATGATACTACCTAGTTGGGTAATGAAATGTCTGCAAGAAAACAACCAAGCTCAGAGAGCATCAAGGACCCCTCAGAACTGCTACTCATCCCTCTGCTTGTCCTTCCTTTATCTGGGAGAGAAGGGAATCAGGATTATCCTTTAACTAGCTGAGCCGTATGAGTCTCTAACAAAAATGTTTCAGTTGGCTTGCTTTCCTCTTCTCTTTTTCCTTTCCTGCCCTCTGTTTTTCGACTGTAAGGTTGTTGGTTGTCTTTGGTCAAAGAGTAGGGTCAAAATGGTTGGAATGACAAAATCAAGAAAAGCCACAATTGCGCTTTTCTTTAAGGACAGGATGGCTAACCAACAATGTGCAGGAAGCGCACAATTTTCACTTTTGCGTTTGCAGACCCAGTTCCCAGAATCCACAAAGATGAGGCAGTCAAAATTCATCGATAAATCACCAGATGTTGACAGAATAATTTCCTGCCAACATCTGGTGGGGAGACAAAGAAATGAAGTATGTGAAGATTTTGGATCGGCTTGGGGTAATCTAGAATTGGAACTCTTGTTCCTGTTTTACTTCTGAAGGGGAAAAAATAACTTTGTCCATTTGAAGGACATCATAATGTTATAACTCCTATGGTTCCATCAGCCAAAATATTTATTATAAAAAGTGCCTCCTCTCAATGCAAATATTTGGCTTAAAAAATCACCATGCTTCAACTTAGGCCGTTGGAAAATGCATTGAGAAATGCAATGAAGTTATGGGATGTTCATACACAGGGCTGGTGGGCACCAGGTTGGAGAAGACAAATGAGAACAGGAGTACTTCCACGTCTCTAGGGGAGCTACTTCATCTTAATGGGAGGTAGCCCTAAGATGAAAGAGAGCAGAAGTGCAGTTTGGCAGGGGTAGAACTCAGAGGGGGGCTTGCATACCATTGAGAGAAGCACTTAAGCCACTCATTCTCAGAAGAACAGAATTAAGAAGGGTGAGTGAGATAGATGGAAAATGCAGAGCTTTTTCTTATTTTCTCCAGGGACTCTGAATAATGCCTACTAATTAAAACATCCACAAGGAGAGAGTGTAGGCATGGGTGTGCCCATATGTGTGTTGTTGTATGTGTAAAAATATACATGAAGAGAGTGAGATGGTGAGAACATCCCCTTCATCACCACCACCACCATTCCTCCCCCACCCACTTTCAAATGCCACCCCTCTCCTGGCTGAAAGTGCCAGCAATTAAATTATTGTGCTTCAGAGAACAGAAGACAGTTTATCAGGCAAGACCACCAGCCAGTTTGCTTGGCTGCTGTCCCTCTGATTTCAGAAAGTTGCCTGGTGGGCAAAAACTGTGCCAGTTCCTCTACATGCAGTGGCAGGAAACACAACTGAATTTTTATTTTTCTTACAGTAGTGCCTTTACATTAGGGGTGCAAAGTGTCCAGCTCGGGAATTTCATGGGGCCTACAGGAATTCACCTTCTGAATCCAGAATAACAGAGTTGGAAGGGACCTTGGAGGTCTTCTAGTCCAACCCCCTGCTCAGGCAGGAAACCCTAGACCATTTCAGACAAATGGTTGTCCAATCTCTTCTTAAAAACTTCCAATGTTGGAGCATTCACAACTTCTGGAGGCAGGTTGTTCCACTGGTTAATTGTTCTAACTGTCAGGAAATTTCTCCTTAGTCCTAGGTTGGTTCTCTCCTTGATTAGTTTCCATCCGTTGCTACTTGTCCTGCCTCCAGATCTTCTCCAGGATGGGCCTTTCCTTTCCTTTCCTTTCCTTTCCTTTCCTTTCCTTTCCTTTCCTTTCCTTTCCTTTCCTTCCCTTTCCTATTTTCCCTTTCATTTTTGCAGGCTTTCAGTCCCTCATATCACTCTTTGAAATCCCCAATTCTCCTCCTAAATGAGATTCTGATCCTGCTAACTTTGGGATGGTGCCTTAAACATTCTGTGCAAAGACTGAAGAGGTCTTTGAGCTGACCCAAGTTATGCACACCTGGATTTAGGAATCTTATGGAGGAGCTCTATTAGATGATAATTAGATCCCCAGTTGTTACAAAATCCAGTAGTAGCTTTGCTTAATTTTGGGGTCCTTCTGAGTGGGGATGCTGGATTTCTACACCCCCCCATCCTACTCTGGTAGCATTATTGGTAACAATCTGTGCTTATAAATAAATAAAATGTGACACTGTGCAATTGTTCAAGGTTTGCTGAAGTTCGCTAGCGATCCTATCCTTGTGTATCCAGAAAATGTGAGGCACAGTTTCTGCAGGACAATATAATTTTTCTGTATTTGCCTAATACCTAAATATACTGTAAGGCAGGGGTCCCCAACCCCTGGTACACGGCTCAGTGCCGGGCTACAGCCTGTTCAGAATTGGGCCATGGAAGAGGTGGGCAAGTGTGTGCACGCGCACAAAACTGCATTAGTGAAAGAGGCGCATACACACGCGAAGCCATTCCCTCTCCCCCCCCCCCCTGCTGCCACCGCCAGTCTGCCGACCCAGAAAGGTTGGGGACAGCCCCAATGTTATTATCTGCCTTTGCTAAATTACTGACCCTATTAGTGTGTTTGTCATGGGGAAGCATGCTTTATTTTAAAAAGGAAAATAAAATATCATCCCAAAGGTGCTTTTTCAAAAGGTGACTGGACTTTTTTTCCTCTCTTGAAGACGTTTTGCTTCTCATCCAAGAAGCTTCTTCAGTTCTGACTGAAGCTTCTTGGATGAGAAGCGACATGTCTTCAAGTAAAAAATAAAGCCCAGTTGCCTTTTGAAAAAGTATCTTTGGGACAAACATGACCTGGATGACTGAGAATCTCCATAGAAAGTAAAATGTCCATTCTAAGACTTGGTGTTCACCAGTTTCAGCCTCTTAAGGTGTTCTGTCCCCGTCTGACACACACACCCAAACAGCCAGCCGAGGGTTAAATAACTTCTCCACACTCCACGCCACAGATAAGAAACTTGGCAGCAGCTCCGTATCTGCCTGCCAAGAACTTTTACTCAGAGAACACAGAAACAAAAAAATACACACAGTTTGAAATTCAATCCACAGCAAACTACTTCACCAGAGATTTAGCTTTGTCCATCACAGAGTCCAAATGGCCACCACCTCCCTTTTATAGCCTGTGGGGTGTGGTCCAGTGACTCAGCTTAATCTCTGGCACGTCTCCTTTTCTGCTGCGCACGCTTTTCTGCTGTGCACGCTTGTCGCGCCTACGCTGGCATGCATCCAGCCACAACATATCTTCATCACTATCCGAAACACCTGGCTCCTGGCCAATCTCAGAAACACCTGGCTCCTGGTCAATCTCTTCTCCGTTGGGAGACACCTGAGGCATTGCCAGAGAGGAGGGTCCTGGAGAGGGAGGCCTGGCCATCTCCTCTCCTTCATGTTCGGAGCCTTCTTCCTCCGATAAGAGGGGCTCACAAGACGGAGCCACAAGATAAGGTTTCCAGTATGGAGAAGAGAAACATTTTGTTTCTGTGGATGGATGGAAATGCTTGCATACAGATGACAGCATGCTTTATTCTGTAACATACTTTATTCTGTACAAGCTTCCTGCTCTTTTTCTATACTGTAGTTCAGGGGTGTCAAACTGCCGGCCCTTGGGTAGGATGCGTCACATGGAAGCTGCACCCACCCCAGCTCCGGCAAGGGGAAAAAAGTCACCATACGTCGCGACACGTCACATGACACGTTTGACACCCCTGCTGTAGTTCCTGAGAATATTCTGAACCACAATACTGTTCTGCCTTAATATACCTTGAAGAACAAATACAGGTAGACCTCGACTTAACGATTTGTTTAGTGACCATCCAGTGCAGGGGTAGGCAACCTTGGCTCTTTTATGACTTGTGGACTTCAACTCCCAGAATTCCTGAGCCAGCCAATTTTTACAACGGTCATTAAGAATCGCATGGTGGTTAAGTCCGAATCCCCTCTCTCTGATGGTGTTTTTTTTTTATCACAAATTGTGGTCATATGACCACAGGTCACTGCAACCCGTTGTAAATGTGAACCCAGTTACAAGCGCCTGAAATGCAGTCATGACCGTGGGAAAGTGTGTTTGTGTGAGCGTGTGATAATTTACAGTGACTGGAAGTGCTTTATGGGCTGTAAAGTGGCCTTTGAGATTGTTGTAACTCTTGACAGTCGATAAACAGTCATAAGTCGAGGATTATCTGTACTATAGATTGTAAATGGTCACCAGATCGCCTCTTGCAGAATTTGTGAATGTAGTGTAAAATGGTAGAATAGCCTCATACCCCTCAACCTAGTACTGTTTCCAGTTGTGTGGGAGTTCAGTTTCCATAATTCCTAGCTAGTGAGCCACACAGAATAGACTGAAGATCTGTTGATGGTAGATCTCTCAGCAGTGGTACTCAAAGCAAACGTCCAAGCAAAAAAATATCTGCTGTGAACCCCACTTGGCATCAGGAAAGGCATCCAGCCAGTAAATGCACAGCTCCATCCAGTCACCCCAACACTACCCCGAATTAAGGGATTAGAGAGTCGTAAAAAGGGAGTTTGATATTATCATGGGGATGTTACAAATATGCCACTGTTTTCATTTATGAAACCTGGAATATATCAGCTCATAAATCAGAAGTGAATTCCCCTTGGTTTGGTTTGTTGTAGGTTGCTGCACAGTTTGCTAATATTGCTAGGTTAACCCTAATTGCCTCCCCTCTCTGCTGGCACTCTCCCAAAATGCTGTTTGTTGACATTTTAACCTTGACCTACATCACTCTCGAACCCTACCTATCCACAGCCCCATATCACTCACCACAGCTGCTGCTGTCTCCAGCCCCATGGAGCCCCAGCTCAGGATAAGGACCAGGAAACTCATGATAGTCATCCTGTTAGCACAAAAACAAAAATGCCATTCAGATGAGCATGGAGATCAAGATGGGTTGGTTGTGTTCTTTCTGGTAGCGTTCCATATCTCCAAAAGCCTCATGCAGAGCAAAAGTGGTTTATTTTCATGTCCTGCTAACCCATGGCAACAAAGACACCCTTCTAATCATTTTTTTAAAGCTGTCTTAATAACACAGTCTTCATCTCATCCCAGTCTATTCCAATTGCTGCCTAAATTTATCCTTTGCTGTTTCAATGTAAAGTAGTGTTTTTCATCTTTTCCCAATATAAGTCTTGCTATGGGAACAATCTAAGGTGCCCCATTCATGAACATAATGATGATGATAGAATAGAATAACAGAGTTGGAAGGGACCTTGTAGGTCATCTAGTCCAAACCCCTGCCCAAGCAGGAGATCCTACAGCATTTCTGACAGATGGCAGTCCAGTCTCTTCTTGAAAGCTTCCAGTGATGAAGCTCCCACAACATCTGAAGGCAGTCTGTTCCATTGGTTGATTGTTCTGTCAGAAAATTTCTCCTTATTTCTAGGTTGAATCTCTCCTTGATCAGTTTCCATCCATTATTCCTTGTCTGGCCTTCAGGTGCTTTGGGAAATAGGTTGATCCTCTCCTTTCTGTGACAGCCCCTCAAATATTGGAACACTGCTATCATGTCTCCCCTGGTCCTTCTCTTCACTAGACTAGCCATGCCCAGTTCCTGTAACCATTCTTCATATGTTTTAGCCTCCAGTCCCCTAATCATCTTTGTTGCTCTTCTCCGCACCTTTTCTAGAGTCTCAACATCTTTTTTATTGTGTGGTTACCAAAACTGGATGCAGTATTCCAGGTGTGGCCTTACTAAGGCTTTATAGAGTGGTATTAGTACCTCATGCGATCTTGATTGAATCCCTCTGTTAATGCAACTTAGGATTGCATTGGCTTTTTTGGCTGCTGCCACACACTGTTGGCTCATATTTAATTGATTGTCCACTAAGACTCAAAGATCCCTCTCACAGTTACTGCTATTGAGCCTGGTTTCACCCAATCTATATGTGTACTTTTGGTTTTTCTTGCCTAAGTGTAAGTAAGACTTTACTTTTCTCTACATTGAATTTCATTTTGTTAGATAGGGCCCAGTGTTCAAGTCTGTCAAGATCCATCTGATGATGATGATGAAGAAGAAGAAGATGATGATGCAGTCAGGAGCTGCGTCTATTTAATCTATTCACTGAATGCAGCTGCTGAAGCCCATTTTGGATTGGGCTTCAGAAGAGATTGAATATCTGGTTTACGCAGATAGATCTGACTCACACTTTCCAAAGCACCACACAGGCATTACGTGGACTCACTACATATAAAGTTAGTCCTTAACTTACTTACTTCCTTATTTATATTTCATATTTCTAAACCACCCATCTCCCTCAAAGAGAGGCTCTGGGGGTTGTATACACTATCATATAAAATACAATAGATTTTAAAACGTGTGCTATATTATATTATGTTCATATTATTGCTTGTTTTGTTCTTTAATGTATTCTAAATGGTTTTGAGTTACAAATAATTCAAAGATATAGTTTTTTATTTCGTCAAAGTGAGAGCTGTTTATGGATATTTTGCACTGAATAAATGCATTGAGATGCCCTACTGGCACTTTGCAACGGGTATAGTTCGAGCAGAATCACGAATGTTTTTGTGGCCTTTCCCACACTGAAATACTTTCTGTGTATACCAGTGTTTCTCAACCTTGGAAAATTTAAAAAGTGTGGACTTCAATTCCCAGGAATTCTGGGAGTTGAAGTCCACACCTCTTAAAGTTGCCAAGGTTGACAAAACACTGGTGTAAACCATTTATAATGCCTGTTGTTGTGTTGTTAGTTGCGAAGTTGTGTCCGACCCATTGTGACCCCATGGACAACGTTCCTCCAGTCCTTCCTGTCCTCTACCATCTTCTGGAGTCCATTTAAGCTCACGCCTACTGCTTCAGTGACTCCATCCAGCCACCTCATTCTCTGTCGCCCCCTTCTTCTGTTGCCCTCAATCTTTCCCAGCATTAGGCCCTTCTCCAGTGAGTCCTTCCTTCTCATTAGGTGGCCCAAGTATTTGAGTTTCAACTTCAGGATCTGGCCTTCTTAAAGATGTCCCTTAAAAAGATTAATTTAAATTACAATTAAAACCTGACATGTTTTAAATGAATGTTATTACAGTCCACAACAACACTGTGCATCTCTCTTTTTTTCTCCATTTTCTTTTACAATGAAGCAATAAATAAGTCATAATATGCTAAGTGCGAAGCTAATAACAGTCCCAGCCACTAGCCTGAATTTTCCATATGAAACAGTTGAGGGTCTATATAAGCCAAACTAGCTTATGATGTAACTGAGCCCAGAATTACAATTGTAAATCATTCCAGTCATTAAATAGGTCACCATGTGTCCATGCCCAATTTTACAACCTTTTTTGTAGCAGTCGTTAAGTGAATCCATTGTCTCTGATGGGTGTTTTATGCCAGAAACCAGAAGTAAATGCGTTTCTGGGGGGAAAAAGGTCACATATTGCAGTCATGTAACTGTTAAGTCCGGAGAATAATGGCGCTTGAGACGAATCATCTCCAACAAGTCTTTATTGTTTGCTCCACTCTACGAACAACCCGAGCAGAGGCACGCAGGCCTCTATTTATACCCTCTGATCCCCGGGCAAGTTCAACCAATCATGAGGCGGGCTTTTTTTTTTTTTTTTTTTT